AATAGGAGCAGATATAAGATATTTTTCTTCTTCTGCTTTCTTTCATTTTATTTTATTTGTATTGTTTTGTTGTATGTAATGTTTTGTTTTAAAAAAAGAAATGAATAAATACTATAAACTAAACAAAAGTTTCTTGAAAAGCAACGGAGGGTAGAATTTATAACCCACACATTTTAWGATGTAGGCTGAAACTGAACTTCCTCTTGTTGAAAGACAAACATCAGCCACTGGCTCTGACCCTGCTGGTTGAACCTTCACACTCTGCTCTTACTGGTGCAATGTGCAATTAATGAAGATTGTCCACCAGGCTGGCCCAGTTTAGCCATGAAACCTCCCACACTAACATGACAGGTGTTTCAGTTTCATTGTCTAACCCCTGTACATCTACAGCTGATTKACATCTGGAGACAATCAGCTAGAARCCAACAGAGATGACTACAACTCAGTCAAACCAGCAGATATTGAGGTAAAACTTGATGTGCTTTAAGTGTAGGGAGATTCCACGACATCTTTGTTTAAAACTCTGGCATTAACTCTGGAGTTAATGTCTGTGTTAGTAAAACATCTCAGGAACTGAGGGGCGTTGTCAGGAAGCAGTGATTGAATGTTTATTATTTACCCACTGAGTYAAGGTTACCTGGTTGGGGGAGGAGCATCTTTTCTCGTAGGACAGCCGGTTGGCGTCGATGGAGAAGCGGAAGCTGGACCTCTTGATGCTGTCCTCGGACTCAGACTTGCGAAACTTGTCGCGCACGCCCCTCTCCTCCTCCTCCTCGCGCTGCTTCCTCTTCTTCCTCCGGTTTCGTCGCTCCTTGGCGCTCTTCGAGCTCAGCTTGGACGTCCCCGAGGAGGACTCAGAGGTGAGGCCCCCTCTCCCGCTGTACTCCCCGTCCTCCGTTGCTACCGCCGCCGCCGCTGCTGCCGCTGCAGCCTGCCGGCCAATCAGAGCAGAGAGAGAGAGAGACGGTCGTCATGGTGACCCGAGGCCCGTGCGTCTCAGAGGAGGAGGAGGAGAGGAGCAGCAGCAGAGACAAGAACAGCCAAACGGAGACGAGACTCCTTCTAAAAACATGGCCACCTGAATGTTTTTCTAAGATTCTCTGTTCTGACTGAGAGTTCTGCAAACGATATGTTTTAGAAAAAAAGATTTAACAGTTTAGGTTTTTAGATAAATGGTGAAGATCTTCCTGTCCACAGGTCCACTCAGGTGTTTCAGCTCCTCCCAGTATTTAGACCAAGTCACTAAGTACAGTCCAGTGTCTGGTTCTGATCCATTCTTTGGTGTTTTTGGCCATGTGTTTGGCTCATTAACCTGGTGGACCTCAGATCGGTTTGAAATGTATTCAGATTAAATAATCTGAATGTAGGGTTCACATGCACCAGGCTTTTATTCAGAATAGAAGTACTGACATGCTCAGAG